TGGGTCCGCAATATGTTACATATTTTGATAATTTATCATCATATGAACATTTTATATAATATCCAAAACTATGTACTTCATGTTTCTGAATATTATGAGTGAAAGGTTTGGAAGGATCGTTAGAACATGATTCTATTGGTTTTAAAAATGCTTCAAAATCAGCATAAACTACGAATGGTATCTTTAACTTTTTTTCATAACTATCAAATTTAATTTTATCATTTGAAATAGGTTGACCAAACCAATTCTTTTTTTTTAAAGTTTCACTGTTTGGTAATACTGTACAAATGTGAGCACAATCGTATTGTTCATGGTTATTTAACCTTTCCTGAGATGGAAAACGAAGTAGACATGCTTCACAAATGTACATGATGTGACCGTCTTTTGAAATTTGTTTACTAACTAACCGCGATAAATTTTTTATATAGCAATAATGATTTTTTGTATCCTTGGAAAAAAATAATAAATTGATATGTCTATCTTTACGACACTTTGTTAAAAATAATGGACCTACTATAGAATTACATCGTTTTTCTTTATTATATTCTAACCCAAAAACATTAATACTAATATCATTTAATTTCTCTACTTTTGCTATGTCAGAAATTTTAACCGGAAAGGAAATACCATCAAATTTAAGTTTATTTGCATGTTTAACGTACGATGATACCCGATCGGTGTGTTTGTTTACAGGATATAACGCCGAGAGTAACGCCCATTTAAAACAAAAATAATCCTTTTTTTTTACATTTATAACAGCCTTTTTTAATTTTATGTCACGAGGAAGATCTATGTATGAAGTACCGCGTAGGGGGTTAAATTTATTAACATTCATGTCTATAGATTTTATGTTTTTTAGACTCCATCCACTATCTTTTTTTTCGAAAGCACTAATTTTAGTAGTAATTGTATCATTTAAAGATGAAAGAAAAATATTTAAGTCATCTCCTTGACAAATAATATAGTTAAGCGTTTGAAAATCGAACGTATCATGAATATCTTTAGTTTGTTGAACAAAATCAGCATGCAATATGAAGTTTACCTTAAAAATTATGTGTTGATGAATACACTCTTGTAATAAAAATAAAATATCATCTTTAATAGAATTTAAAAATAGTTCAGGAGTTTCAAAATTTACCCATGTCGAACGATCTACTCTACTCTTGATTTTATAAGTTAAAATCCTATTTCCAAAAGCAGATTCAATAACACTAACGTTTGATAAAGAATTATGTGAATTTAAAAGATTATTTTTATGAACATTACTTTTAAAATGATTAGCTAAATACCGTTTCTTGATAAATATATGGCACGTTGGACATTCCACTTGATCATCGTTACTGATACTGTTCCCTGCAGAGGTATGCGCTTCTGCTTCCGTTGTTGGTTTTTTGATGATCTTGGATTCTTTGCTGCACGTTCGCTTCGTTCCTCTTCCAAGTTGTAGTGGTTGACTGCTAAAATGTTTAAATTTATTAAAAACTGTATAAGACAATATGTAAATTATGATCGAAATGAATGTTTATTTTACATACTTAAACTGTGTTTCAACCATCGCACAGTGATGATACAACTCATCATCGTATGACGAATCGAACAGTTGACCCCTCTCCATTTCTTCACAAACTCCTGATTTAATTCGCTATTGAATAGTTCCGTATTCTCTTCCATGATTGTGGAGAAAAAAGCACTGGTGCACACTTCACTGAAGTTTTCCCTTCCTCTTTTTTATTTTTGATTCAGCTTCAAAAAAATGATCAATCGATTGCGATTTTCTTTTTCCACCATCGCATGTGTTATTATTAATGACGAGGTTATCACTCTCTTCTTGAGGGGAGAGTGGCGAGTAGTAATACTGTTTATAGGTATCTTCATCGAAGCTCAATGATTTCTGCAACAACACAGTTATCATGTTAATATCAATTTGTTAACACTTAATCATAAAAGTTAAAAAAGTTAAAGTTACAGCCTATTAAAGTCCACTGCTGAACATAGGCCTCCTCTCATTTCTGAGAGGGTTTTAGAGCAAGGAAATGTCCGCCGCGCTCCCTCAATGTGTGTTGGCGAACTTCACATGCCTTCGAAATTTTCTCAGACATGCAGGTTTCCTCACGATGTTTTCCTTCACCACCAAGCACGTGGTAATAAGCACTTAAAATTGCTATTAACAATTTAATTGGTGCTGGCGGGGATCGAACCCGGGTCGCGTACTGTGAAATTTACAGCTAGCGCTAACCATCTGAGTTACCACGGCTTAATCATATACATACACAATATTTAAATAAAATAATACACACACATGAAAATAACAGAAAAAAAGTAATTTAGTCAATAGAATAAACACTTACATCAATAGCCTTTGGTGTATTGAAGTAACACAAATGTACTATTGATAGATCCACTGTAGCCAAACGACCGTACACTAACTCGATGACTGCGTTTGTTGGTCTTATATACCACCAGTACGTAAAAATTCTAATCTAAAGTATTTCCGTAATGAGTTGATAATTACTTTATGCGTCAACCAGTTTATCTCACATTTCCGTTGCCTATCTCAACATTTCTTCGTATTGTGTTTTGTTTGGTGATCAATGACTCAAGTACGATTTGTATAACACAAAAATGCAATTTAATATTTAGAAACATATCAGTTTATCTCACATTTCCGTTGCCTATCTCAACATTTCTTCGTATTGTGTTTTGTTTGGTGATCAATGACTCAAGTACGATTTGTATATCACAAAAATGCAATTTAATATGTAGAAATCACTATAATTGACCATTCCTATGTTATTCATTGAGTAGCTAGGTACTGTAATAATCTACTAATAGCAGTAATATCATGGATACACTAGATGTACAACAACATCTGAAAAAGATTCACCCCAGTCTAGAAAATAATGTTTATGCAGCTAATAGACTGCCTATGTATACCCACGTACCAACGTATATAATATGTAATTTGGATACAGATGATAAACCAGGGTCACATTGGGTAGCTTTATATATCGATACGAATGACGTCGGTCAATATTTTGATTCATATGGACGATCACCTGTACGATATCATCTAGAGTTTTTAAAAAGGAATTGTAAAAGATGGAACTGGAATGTTGATAGGATTCAGAATGAGTGGACTTCAGTTTGTGGCGAATATTGCTTAATGTATTTACTATATAAGTTTCAAGGATGTTCAATACATAGTTTTACGAGTATATTTACAAGGAACACATTGTACAACGATATTTTAGTGGATGAGATGTTTCGCTCCTATTTTATAGATAATAATTAATAAGATTTTGTATTTTATAAATAAAAATTGTAACAAAATTATGTAATGTGTTTTATTGATGATTCAGATTAGCGTTGTATAAACAAAGAATTATAATAAACAATAGCACTGATATAGTCGACGCACACGCTGCAATGAGGGTGATTAATGAACAATAGAACAATAGAAATAGGAACAATGGGACGCTAATGACGGTGGAGGCCCTTACCGGATATCAATTAGATATTAGCTAATTGATCTACACATCTCCGGAACCGTGCATTCTACACAAAAATGGACCGCGGATTCGTGATCAGAGCATGCCAAAACGTTTTTTTTTTTTTTTTTTTTTTTTTTTTTTTTTTTTTTTTTTTTTTTTTTTTAGGATCGGGCGTCGACGAACGTATAGTTTTGATAATTATGACATGGGCCTAGCTGTCAGATTCGATGTTGCCAATTAACAGGCATAATATCGATAAATAGATAGCGATTTTTTTTATTCGGATTTATAATTTCATAAAAAAGAATAATATTTGATTCGCTTTAAGTTCTGCACGCATTTTAAAATATGTTTTGTTTTATTCATTTAAATAATACTGTTATAAATAAAAAATATAAATAATAAATAAAATGTATGTATGTAAATAAAACTGTTAAACAAAAGCTGGATGAATATAATTGGGCCCAGTTAATTACAATAACGTGTCCATTATTATTGTATCAGATGATGTGTAGTGTATTTTATAATATTTACAAGGAAAGTATAATTAAATTTAAGGTAGATAGAAAAAAAGTAATAAGACATCCATGGATAGATAAATATTTATATACAATGTTACTGAGAAGGGATTATTTATTTAGAGTTTGGAAAACGGATCCAAAGAATATGAACAAGCGATTAGTCTATACAAAATTTAGAAATAAAGTAAGTAAATTAGTAAATATTGCAAAAAATAAATATAGACAGGAACAAATTTTAAACTGTAATGGAGATTTTAGGAAAATATGGACAAATATAAACATGTGGTTGGGTCGAAACAAAACTAGCTTAGATGATATTCTTTTATTCTATTATTTTAAGGCATTTAGGAAAAACAGATAGTATAAAACAGATTTGTACAAAATTTTCTAAAACATTTACGGATGAAATAAAGGGAATTAAACATGTATGTAATTTGAAGTTTTTGGATAGAAATAAATATGTAAAACCGAGTGAGGTAAGCTATAGATACAGTAGGGTGACTCCGTCAGATGTAGAAAAGGTCATAAGGACATTGTCCTGTCTGAAAGCACCCGGTTCAGATGGAATACGGGCGCAAAACATTATATATTTAAGTAAACAAATAAGTCCTGTTATAGCTTCACTAATAAATATGTCCTTATCTAATGGTATTTATCCTGACCAGTTAAAAAAGCAATTATACGTCCTATATACAAATCAGGAAGTCATTTAGAATATGTTAATTATAGGCCCATTGCATTATTATCTGTTATAGATAAAATAATCGAAAAAATTATTGTAGGACAGATTAGCGCGTTCTTAGAACAATATAACATACTGTGTGACTCACAGCACGGTTTTCGGAGAGGGCGCAACACGGTCTCTGCTTTGACAAGATTTTCAGATTATATTAATGACTGCCTAGATTCTGGTAAACAAATTATAGCACTTTTTATTGATTTTAAAAAAGCGTTTGACACTTTAGACCACAAGATCTTATTACAGGCAATGGACGAATGCGGAATACGTGGTCCCACAAATAATTGGTTTAAAAACTACCTTACTAATAGAAAAATAAGTACAATTATCTCCCAAGTGGTTGGGAAAGAGGCGGATGTCGATTCGGGTGTGCCTACTGGATCGGTGTATGGCCCTGTGGGGTATATAATGTATGTGAATACTGTGTCGAATGTCGTGCATAACTGTAAGGTGTTCATGTATGCTGATGATATGTGTCTTGTTTATGCATCCAAAGATATAACTGAGGTACAAAAGTGCATACAAGGTGATTTTGAAAACATTAGCAAATGGGCACACGACAATGGCATTATATTAAATCTTCAAAAAACTAAATGTATGCATATACACTCGCCATATAATAGAAATGCTAAATGTGTAAAAAATGAAGATCTAACAGTGATAGGACATACATACGAATGTATGCATAGAAATAAATTTAACTGTAACTGTAAAAGATTGGATTATGTAGATAAATTTAAATATTTAGGTCTAACAATAGATAAGAACTTTAACTGGAGAATACATATAAATGACATTTGCAATAGGCTAAGATCTGTGTTAAGTAAGTTTTACCAATTAAAAAATGTATTGAACAAAAAAACTTTAAAAATAGTATATTTTGCACTTGCTGACTCGCTTATGAGTTATGGACTCCTTGTATACGGGCGAACCTTTATTACATATCTAAGAGATATCAAAGACATACAAATAAGACTGATTAAGTTTTTAGTTAGTAAAAATATTAAAGATAATTGCAACAAAGACTATGATAAGCTGTTTTCCATTTGTAAAATAATACCCATAGATAAAAAAGTAGAATATTTGATAGGTCTGGAATATTATTATAATGAGAAATATAAAGTGAATGTTAAAAACAAGTACAACACACATAGGGTTAGAGAAAACAAACTGGTTCTACCAAAAATAACGAACTATTATGGTAAGAGAACATCTAAGTATTTGGTAGCTAAAGTGTTTAACAAAATAGATCTACTAAGAGAAAAAGTAAAAATTAGTAAAGGAGCACTTAAGAAAAAATTGAAAAACATTATACAGGATTGTTAATAGAACTCTATATACGAGTACATTGTATTAGATTAAAACATTACAATATAATATATAAGTAATAGATATTTAATTCATACAATTAAAGTTAGATGTATATAAAGATATATAGTTAACATAACATTAAATGTCATAGGTTTATATATTACTATATTATATAATTGTGTATCATTGTGTCTAATATTAGTATTACATAAGGTGGTTCATTGTTTTGTAAAAGAGCGCCTCTCGCCATCAAACGTAAAAGTTTGGCGAGTTTAGAATTAAGTAACACCATTGTTTCATAAATACATTAATAAATAAATTAAAAAAAAAATTCCATTTTAAATGTATTTTTAAGAACAGATAATAATAATAGTTAAATTGTGCAGTACCGTTTTTGTGACGTTCTAAAGAGTTCATGGTAAATCAACTAGCAATTCGCTTGTTTAATTATCATAACATAATAATAATTATCGAAAATAATATTACCATTATAATAATGACAACATAAAAAATCGATTGCAAAAACAGAATCGACTTTTTTAACGAGATTTGCGATTGGCAACACTTTTTATTTTACCCACAAACTAATGACTTGCGGATTTACCTAATTTCATTTTTATCTTTTCGGTACTTTTTTCTGTGCAAAAATATTGCAATCTTTTTTGGATACATAAATACTACGATTAATTACCATAAAAAAAGATGTATTTTTTTCACGAATGCAAATTGTTAGGCGTTTCATGGCCAGAATTGGGCATTCCCCTTTGCTTTGTCGCTCTTTCCTCGTTAATTTTTTCTCCATGACCAAACCACTTAAGCATTATTTTCTGAACATCATCTTACTAACCACACTTTTCTCTTATTATACAATTTCTTCAATTTCTTTCTTCAATATTCTACATTACACCAAGTGGACTGTGTCGAGCACACACTCGTAATCTTTCTAAAATATATTTATTGAACACGCGCTGAACCAGCGTCGCTAACTAACTGCGTCATAACTCTCTTAGAAATTAGAGCAGCCTGTGTCCACTTACTTTAGATTATATGCCTTTTTTAAAGCTACTCCCCTACAAACGGTTTACATACATAAATTGCACGTGAATAATACCAAAATACGAAACAACTATAATATTTTGAAGATACTAAAACATATTCTATGCGGGAATCGAACCTGCGAACCGCGGTGCTGCAAGCAATCCACTACGCTTCCGAGGCATCAAAGTTTCATAAATCCGCAGATATTTACATTTCGACTAAAATATTACCTCGCATATGTTTCTGCTTTAGCAGTAGCTTTTCATAGCGGAGATACATTACATACATTTAGCAAACTCCTGTAGACGACCTAGTTACGAAAATCGCAAATGTAAAAATAGTGAACGTACTGGAATCATAACGAACTTCATATCAATAGATCTTAAATGGTAGATCTATACAGAGTAATAATCTCTATTAGATCAACATACAAATATAAGTGGTTGCTACGTAAGTATATCCGTTCTAAAAAAAATCTTTAACCGACTTCCAAAGCGGAGGATGATTGTTATTTCGTCTTTATAACTAAGGATAAGACAAAAGTCCACTGGACACTCAAAAGTGGGTTCAAATCTACTGTCACAACCCAGCACATAGTCAAACTGATGGTAGAGACCATCAGGTGGACTGTGTGCTAGTTTGTCCCCTTTATTCTATAAAAATAAATAACTTTAGTTGGACATAAGCAACTTGACGGCCTTAGCGTCACCGCTACATTAATTACGCTAGTGCTACAAGGCTGTGTGCTATCACCAACGCTGTTTCTTCTGCATATCAATGATATGTTGCTAACTGGTAACATTCATTGCTATGCGGATGACAGCACTGGTGATGCTTTATACACCGGCCGTGCCAATATTTCTCGGGAAAATGTCGCCGGGTACCGGAACAAACTTGTGTCTGAAGTCGAGTCTTTGCTGGAAAAGTTTCGGATTGGGGGCGACTAAATCTAGTCCAGTTTAATCCTCAGAAGACACAAGTTTGCGCGTTTACCGCTAAAAAGAACCCCTTTGTCGTATCTCCTCAGTTTCAATGCACTCCCCTTCTTGCCTCAGCCAGTATCGGTATCCTCGGAGTCGACATATCGAGTGACGTGCAGTTTCGTGGTCACTTGGAAAAGAAGGCCAAATTGGCCTCTAAAAAGGTTGGCGTGCTCAGCAGAGCGGGACAGTATTTCATGCCGGCACACCACCTGCAACTTTACAAGGCGCAGGTTCGGCCTCACATGGAATACTGTTCCCATCTCTGGGCAGGGGCTCCCCAGTGCCAGCTCCTTCCACTTGACCGCATCCAGCGCAGAGCGGCTTGAATCGTCGACGACCGAGCCCTTTTCGATCGGCTTCATTGAACGCACATCGCGGCAGAACTCCCGATACCATCCACACCATCTGGATGAATGGCGGTCCACCACTGTGCGATTTAGAAAATGTTTTCTTCCTCGCACGACTTCCTTGTGGAATCGATTACCATCAGCGATTTTTCCGGACCAATACGACTTAGGGACCTTCAAGAAAAGAGCGTACTCCTTTTTAAAAGGCCGGCAACGCATCTGCAATTCCCTCCCTGGTGTTGCAATTGTTCATGGGCGGCGGTAGTCATTTACCATCAGGTGAGCCGCATGCTCGTTTGCCCCCTCTCCTATAAAAAAAATGATTGTAACGCCATCTGTTGCAAATCACGAAACTTTTATAGAAGAAATTTGATATAGTGACGCATAACCTTATATTTTCCTCATAAAATCATATTTAAAATACTTTATTTTAAATGCTTTTATGTGCAGCAGAAACTTCATAAGGCATGAATTTAAAGTCGCTTCTACTTATCGCCAGCACTGTGGAAGTTAAACTACGTAATAAAAAGTTTTTGAATACATTTTAAATACAACGCAATCGCAGAAGTGTATTAACCAAACTTTGACCGTTGCCGTTCATACGATAAAAGTATTAAAACGCGTTCCAGTAAGGGCTTTGACTTTAAGCTGAAACAAGTTTAAGTAAGGTTTATCCACCAATATGGAATTTTATTTTAATTTTTGTTGTATATTTCAGAGTAGTTTGAGAATATTTTTATTTGAATGTAGCTATAGTAGTTTTTCAGTAGTAATCGTTTTTGTTGAGACAGTCTCGCGCGGTCGTAAAAAAAATAGTGACATTTAATGCGATGGTTCAATGGATAACTGTGTTACATATTGATATCACTCTCTTATCAAAAACATTATTTTTATATATTGTAAAATTTTGTGTATGATTAAGTTAATTCGAGAATGGATTAGATTCACAATTGGACCCGGTAAGTGGCGCTTTTGTCGAGATCGAGAAATCACCCGTGCGAAGCCGGACGGATCGCAAGATTTATATGTTTTGCCAAAAAACAGCTGCGCACCCACTGCTTAGTTCCGGTTTAAAGAGGAAGCCTCTTACAAACCCTAAGCAGCCAGTTATAGACAGTAACAGTTTAAAATTGATTGCGGGCGTTTGTGAATCTAACATTATAAAAAAATATAATAATACCATAAACACATTTATCCTCGATCAGGCATGGAAATGCATATCCAGGTGGTAGGACTCTTTCCTGTCTAGGAGGCTGTCAGTGTAGGTACCAGTCTCTTACCTATGTCTGCCGTCAAACAGTAGTGCGTACACTGATGTGTTCCAGTCTGAAGGCTATAGAGAGCCAGTTATATTGGCTCTTTTTGGTAAACAGAGCCTTGGTTCTACTCAATTGATTCACCAATACGATATGTATTAAAATTGCAAAGTTTGTATCTGTAGGCTATCATATCTGTTAAAGATTGCAGCTTTATTTCTCGTCTAACAGCCATGAGATTAAGAGTGTAACGGAGAAATTTTGGGTTCTTCGCAAAATTTCGAGCTAATGTAATGTAAAATAGCTCCCACCTAATGAATATTATTCATGAGCTTGTGAGCATTCATCGTCGTTAAAATATTGAAAAGAAATTTGAAATTAGAACTGAAAGGTTTTAGGGCTTTGGATTAGACCGCAAGGGAAACGGAGCATTAAATTCATTAGATTCGACCTCTACAACATAATGTTTATTCGAATACGATCTTAAACCCTGACGAAATAACATATAGAATGTTTACATATAATAACAGGGTGGTGTGAGGCATTCCAATGTGAGGCAATCCTTGTACACACTTACGACTTATCTGTGGCCTTCTTTGTTTAAAGTTAGCAGGTGTCCATGTACCATGTAAACATAAACGCAGTAATCATTTCAAGGCAGTTAAGATATGAGAATGACAATAACCGGGACCTTTTTACTGGGAATGTTGCATTCCGTCTATAAGGCATCATATAGCAATAGCAATATGAGTTTTGATGCTTAATCAAAGGTAGATGTAGTTGTCAGAGGGTCGAAGCATCCACTTGCCATCAGGTGAAATGTGTACGAGCTCTTCACTGCTAGGGTTGTAAATATTTTGTTTTTAAAATATTTTCGGAGAACTACAGACTCGTCGCATGACCTGCATGTGGACATTCCGCGGGGACGCGCCGAAATACAAGTGAACCGTGTAGTGGCGGTGTAAGAATATCCACTACGCCATATCGTTCTGTTGTAAAAGGCTACATAGGGAAACCAATCAGGAGATGGGCAGCATGTATTTCTAATAACAACTCGAAATAATAAAAAAACTGCGGCTGCCAACGTGTCTGCCAAGCTTGGCTTATATGGCAAAAACCCTTATGAAACCATCTATTGGGAGGCCATGTTCAGCAGTGGACTTTTATAGGCTGTAAATTGCAATAAACTGAAACCAGCCATATAGATACCACACGAAAGAACTGCAAAATGCCAATTTAATTAGAATCTATCCAATTACAATTGAGAATAGAATTCTGTTTTAAGAGCCGTGAATAATTTCCATTATTCATTCTCACTTAATGCAAAGTCGACAGTGCAGGATATTAGCAAGACATCATGGATTCGTGCTATATTTTTATATGCACATTTA